TGGGGCGAGGGAAAGAGGAACCTACGAGGAGGACAGAGAGGGAGCCGTGAGAGGAGTACGAAGAAAACAGGACAGAACGGTGTCGTGAGGTCCTGAGAAAAACAAGCCCCAAAGAGGGCAAAGAGGGGGTCGCGATGAGAACCTGTTCCCGGGAGTGAGGTCTTGCTCTGGACAGTCCTGGGGCAGGAACCCCATGGGAGGGGCCTCCTGCAGGAGCTGCCCCTGGGAGGGAGCAGGCACCTCCCCACCCTGGAGGGAAGGAGGTGAAGGCCAGTGTGGCTTAGAGAAGGAGGGGATAGGAATTTGGAAAAAATCATTGCTGATTGCTTCTCATTTCTCCAAGTATCTGAAGTCTTCTGTTTAGGGTCTTAAAATACACAGTAAGGGCCTGGAACCACTGAGATTGAGGGAACGGGCAGGGTGCAGACCAGACACTGAAACGTTGCCAGGCAGTGCTCAGGGTCCAGCCAGCGTCCTGTAAGGCTTGGGCTCCTCCGAATGCCCCCTCTGCCAGCTCCAGGAATGCTCCTTTTAGAGCGGCCACACGGCCATCAGTAAATATTCGTGCTACTCCGGTATAGCCTGAGGTGGCCTGTTTTCCCTACGGCTCTTGAAATCTGCGCGGACCACTGCTGGGCCTGGAGGCCCCTGTCTTTAAATGGGTCTCCATGGAGGCAGGGAAGGAATTGCTTTGCTGCCAGGAGTGCATTCCAAGAGCTGTGGGCAGGGAGTTCCTGCAGCCTGTGCGCTGGAGGCCACCACACCCAGTTCCAGCCTGATCAGTTCGGGGGGCAGGCAAGAGTGGGGTCGACTCTGTGGCCACAGCCAGGGATGGCTCAGCCCCTCACTCAAGTGTGTATGCTGGGCTTTTCCAAAGGACGTTCACTCCTCCTGCCTCGTTGGGACCTTACAGCCTCCCCAGGGAGGCAGCCTCAGGGATCCAGGCCCATTTGACACACAGGGAAACTGAGGCTGGCAGCAGGGCAGCTGATTGCTCAGGATCACGTACGGGAGACTCAGAGCCTTGGCAGAAGCCTAGGTCTTCTGTCCTCTATAGCAGTGGGTCAGGGCCAGAGCTGCGAGGGCGTTGTCCATGTGTCTTCTGCAGCTGGCTCCCCAGGTGAGCCTCACTGACCTCACAGTCTCTGCACATGCTGTTCCCCCTACCTAGAACACGCCCCGCCCCACCCTGTGCCACCCCACTCTCATCCTCACCTAGTTAACTCTGATCCCATCCCTCAGCTAGGGATGCCTCCTCCGGGAAGTCTACCCTGCCCCCAGGTTAGATTAGCGGCCTCCTGTGCACGCTCACCACCTTGTGTGCTTCCCTCGGCATAGTACTTACCCTGGATCAAAAGACCTTGATTCTCAAGACCGTGAGTGCCTAGAACAAGCCCCTACCTGTTCATCACCATCCGGCACTGGATAGGCACTCAATCAGTGTTCGTCAGATAAATGCAATAAATAGGTAGAGAAAAGGAGGGAGAGGAGGAGGGAGGGAGGGAGGGAGGGAGAGTACAATTTCATAAGGGTCTCTGGAGTCAAACTAATGCCTTCCCCATGAATGTGAGAGCGAGGGGAGCCCATGGTGTAGCCCAATCCCTCCCTGTACACAGAGAGACACCAAGAGCATACAGGCTCTTGGTGGGTTTGCCCAAGGTCTCAGAGCGAGTGTGGTGGGTTCTAGTCCAAGTCTCCCATTCCCAGACCTGTGATTTTTTTTTTGCAGTGATCCAAAGGTGGGATTTCAGGGACTGTGGCAGGCCACCGAGAGAGACTGTTGGGTGGGGGACTTGTTGGGGAGTCTTGAAACCAGCCCAGAGGTGTGCAGGGCTGGGCGGCAGTGGGCTGTGGGGTTCACCCCCCTGTTCCAGCCACTGTGCACTCCCAGCCTCACTTCCTCTGCGCTGGAGCCTCTCCACTCCCCAAAAGCTCGTCCACCTCCCTGGGGCTGTCAACATGCTGACCTTCCAGCTTCCCACCTGTCACCACCAGCCACAGGCAATTAGAATAATAGTGCAGGAATTTCCCCCCAGGTTCTGGGATGAATGGTGAGCAGGAGGGGAGCGAACTGCCCGTGGAAGTGGGGCTTCGGGGAAGGACATGGGCTGGGAGGGCGCAGGGGCCAGCACCACTCTGCCCACATTGAACGAGTGGGGAGACAGGCCCAGCGAGGAGGAGGGGCTCGCCCGGGGCTGACTCCCAACAGCGACTGGCCTTGCGAGGAGTCTCCCTAACCGGAGCATGGGAGAGCCTCCACCGTGTTCCCTGCGTCCAGCCAGAGGGCGTGCCTGGTCTCATCTGGGGCTGTGGACCAAATGATTCATTTCTATATTCTCAGTGTCTAGCCCAGGGCTGGCCGCAGAGCAAACGCATCATAAATGTCTGTTGAATGAATGGTTAGCGGTGGAGAGTGAGATGGAGACCAGCCCCCTCCGCACCCCACACAGGGTTCTATTACTCCTTCCCCAGAATCTTACACTTCATTGTGTCCTCAGGGCCCGCCCCAGGGCCTGGGTCAAGTGTGTGATCCATAAATGTTGGATAGATGGTGAACAAATGAATCTTCGAAGTCTTAGATCCAGCCAACACATACTGAGCGTGTGTGGGGCAGTAGCCATGCGGTCTCTGCCCCATGGAGCCTGGTGAGGAGATAGACATGCCCACACAGAACCCCATTCCCATGCTAAGGCAGGGAGCCTCAAGTTGCTGGTGGAACTGACAAAGATGAGCCATAGACCTCAGAGCTGGACCTTGTCTGACTACTGGAGGTTGTCCCTGCCTGGACAGTCCAGGGCTGGGGTCAGTTTGATGGTGTGGGGCACAGTGATGCAACAGTAAATAAACACTGTGAGCCTTTGCCGCATGCCAGCCACTGTTCCCGGAGTCCTCACAACAGCCCTAGAGACTGCTAATACAGTCATTCCCACTTTACAGATGGGGAAACTGAGGCACAGGGTGGTACAACCAATGAGCAGCAGAGCCAGGATTTGGACCCAGGCAGGGTGGCACCAGCCCATCTTCCAGCTACACCATACTGCCTTTCAGGGAGGCCTGACCTTGACTTTGGTGTAGGTCGTTGGCCTGAGGCTGTCCCCAGTTGCTGATGACCTGCTATGTGGCTGAGCCCACTTTGTCTCTTGTGTTCCAGGTCACTTTCTGGGGAACAACACAGTCATCGACGTCCTTCGGCAGGCAGGGCTGGAGGTGGAGCACACGCCCGCAGGACAGACCATCCACAGGTAAGCAGCTGGGACATCTGGGGGCGTGGGACTTGCTGGCCCACTGATGCTGGTCCACGGGCCCTGCTGACCACGTGCTGTATGGCAGGCTGCACCCCACCTTCCCGCTCAGGCCTGCGGGGCAGAGTCTTGAAGGAGCCTCTGGTGAGATGGGGCCTCCTAGCGACTGGCCTTCACCAGGCACCCAAGAGTGGGGGCTAGGCTGGAGGTGGGGAGACCGGGAAGGAGCTTGGTGTACAATAGTGGCAGGAGGTCACGGCGGTGGGAAAGCAGTGAAGGTGGGAATGGGAGGAGCGTTAAGTTTTGAGAGATGTTCAAGATTTAGAGACTGGTGATCGGTGGGGTGCAAGGACTCTGTAGGACTCCCGGGTTGCTGCCTAGAGGACCTGGTGGATGCCCAGGCCCTGAATCGAGATGGGGCCATGTTTAGGACGAGCCCTGGCCAGGCCTCTTCCCTGTGTCCCAGCCCTGCCCACACCCGGTCCTCACCTTCCTCTGACCACACCTTCTCATTGCTGCCTCTTGGCAGCAATTCCCTCACCTAACTTGCTTGCCAGGGCGCACTCGCTCCGCCCAAAGAGCCATATAATGCATACAGTGGCCATCCTCTCTTCCTGTGTGGGTTTTCTGTCCCCCTCAGGCTGGAAGCTGCCTGAGGGCAGATGCCAGCTGGGTTCACCCGTGGTCCACAGTGCCAGCACCAAGCCGGGCACGGTGAGGTGTCGGCATGTGCTGGGCAGCCCTAGAAGACAACAACAGAATCCTGAAACCCGGGGCTTCCACGCAACTTGTGCACCAACCTGTGCAGGAACCTTCCTCACAGGGCTGGCCAGAGTGTGATTTCGGCCCCTGTCCATGATGTTATAAAATCCAGAGTCCAAAAGAAGCTTGAATAATCATAGCTAATGTTTATTGACTGTTCACTGTGTGTTGGGCTCTAAGCGCTTTTAACTCATTAAATCCTCACAACAACCCCGTGAGGCAGGAACTATGAGTATCCCCACCTTAAAATTGAGGAACCTGAGGCCCAGGGAGGCGAAGCCACTTGCAGAAGGACACACAGCTCATGTTAATGGCAGTCTAGCTCTAGGGCCTTCCTAAGGTCCTCACCACAACCTGTACTGCCTCAGGGGCTGGGGGCGAGGCTCAGGGGTGGGAGTGCTCAGGAATGATTGCAGCCTTGCTATTCACTCTGCAAAGATGAGGCCTGGGGCCTTGAGCCTCTGGTCTCCCAGCTCCAGGCTGATGCCCTCCCCCCGTCTCTAAACGCTCTCACCTCGGACTCCTCCATCTTCTCATCTTCTGAGTCAGCCTGACCAGACCGCCCTTCCTGACCACTGGAGCCCAGCACAGATCAGTTTGTACTGGGCCAAGGGTAGGCGTGAGTTGGAGGGATGAGGGACCCAAGGTAGCCTCGGGGACAACGCCTTCCTCAAGCTCCTCCTCACAGCTCCAAGGACCTCCACCTCAAAGCTCATTGTGTGGGTCTGGACAGCGCGGGGGGGCGGGCAGGCCGGCGGGGCTGCCTCGGCTCCTATTCATCTCAGAGCCCAGGCATTAGAACAGGTATCCCCCGACTCCCCGCAGGCCCCGCTCTCAGCCTGAGTCTCTGAGTGCAGGCTGAAGTCCTGTGGGTGGGGTGAGGGGGGCGGGGATGCCGAGGAGGCCCCAACAATAAAAGCCATCATCAGTCGCAGGTGCCTCCTGGATCCGTCTTTTTGTCTGCCTGTTTTGAATTATCTCCCCAGCAGCTGCGGCATCTCCTGGACCCTGGGAATCTGGGGTTGCCGTGGGGGATGGAGGAGGACAGGCTGAGCTGATGGCCTTCTGTCCTTCAAGGAGAGAGAAGCCCCTCACCCCATTGTGCACGCAGGAGCGGAGTTGGGGGACAGCCTCCCTTGGGCGCCGGCTTGCCTTTACAATTCTCGGGACCAGGACCAACTTCCCCCGGGGTCAGATGTCCCCAGAAGGAATTCCGTTTGGACCACAGAGAGGGAAGAATAAAAGGGAGAGGAGCAGAGGGTGTTCCCAGGCTGAGGGGTGTCTGCGCACCGCCGTATGGCATGTGGAGTCCACGCCACACACTTAATCGCACGTCACTGCCTGCTGCAGACAGCTCTGTTTGCTCGAGGGTGACATTAAAGAGAGGCCGGTTCTGTGCCAGGCATTATGTTAAGATCTCGTCTCTTTCATCCTCATGACAGCCCTATGAAGTGAGTAGTATTAACTCCGTTTATAGCCAGCTGTTTCTTGGATACTTGTGTCCCCGCCCTTAGTCACATAGCCTGGAAGGTGCAGAGCCAGCATGTGAACCCGTGTCTGTCTGCCTCCACCTTGAGTTCTTCCCTGCTCAACACTGTCCTGCCTCCCCTGGAAAGGTGCTCAGGAGACCAGTGTTGAATGCATGAGGGGATGGTTGGATGAATGGCACAGCAATAATGTTAATATATCATATTTAAGGAAGTTAACTACTGAAATGTTTCAGCTGCTATTTGCCAGCCACCGTTCTGAGTACTTTGCGTGTGTTAACTCACAAAATCATCGTGATGCCGCTAGGAAGTACCAGCTGTAATATCCCCATTTTCCAGGGCAGGAGACTGAGGCACAACACAGGGAAGTTGGGTAACTCACCTCAAGTCCCTCAGCCAGAGCTTGTTGAATGAACGAGGCCCTGACCAAGATCAGATATGCTCCCAGAAACCTGCCCAGGGCTCACCCTCTCACTCCTGCTAGTCTGGGTTCACATGTCACCAACAGGGACCAGACAAGGGTTGTTGTCCCTGCCAACAACGCCCCCTCCCCCCACGGCCCACGCTGTCCCTCCTGCCCCTGCTTTATTTTTCTCCTCAGCAGTTATCACCATCTGACATCCGGCCCATCTTACTCTCTGTCTCCCACTTCGGAATGTAAGCGCTAAGAGGACAGGGGCTTTGTCTATTTTGATCGTTACTAACACCCATTACCTAAAAATTTCCTGGTGCCAGGTAGATGCTCCATAAATATCTACTGAACCAATAAATGAAAGAATGCACCAAAGCTCTATCTCGCAACACCAGGAGATGCTTTTCCTGGGTGACCCTCAGCCGGGCCCCCTGGCATCTTCTCCTGCCGTGACAACTTTCCCACTGAATTGCATGCCCCGTCGCACCTGAATGACACGCATGCCTCATGTGCGGTTGCCCCTGTCCAGCCCTGTTGCCCGGAGCCCGGCACCTCCACCCGAGGGGACCTCGGCGAGCCCCGCCCAGGCGACCCCAGCTGCTGCCATCCCTGCGGTCTCCTCGGCAGCCCCCACTGCCCCACCTGAGGAGGAGGACCCAGCCCTGTCCCCGCACCTCCTGCTACCCGACAGCCTCAGCCAGCTGGAGGAGTTCGGGCGACAGAAGAAATGGCACAAGAGGCAGAACAAACACCAGCGGCCGCGGCAGTTCAATGACCTCTGGGTCCGCATCGAGGACAGGTGAGCTGGGAGGGGCAGGTCCACCGGGAGCTGGGCCTCTCTCTGGTCAGCCTACCTGAGACCCACCCAGGGCCAGACACACTCTGTTATCCGCATGCCCGGCTCTAAGGAAGGGTGGCAGGTGGGTACTCGATCGGAAACTGGCTTGTCCCTGTTCACAGAGGATCCTTCTGTTCATGCTTCGGGGTTTGTAGAGCATGCTTACACCTGACTTTTCAGTTTTCTCCATTTGAAGGTGAAGGAATAGAAGCTTCCTTCAGGTGCAGTGGACAAAAGTCTGCTTTGCCCTTAGCTTTCTTGGATGCGTGATGGGTGCAAAGCAGACCCCGTTTGTCCCATGGGCCAGAAGGTGAAAGCAGGAGAAAATGGAACAGGCTGGCCAAATCAGAAAACTGTGAGCTCTCTGGGCCTGGATGGCCTGAGCAGCCGACCCGCTGGCAGGGAGGCTGCAAGAGGTATCCTGCGTGCAAGAGAGACACGGCAGGTGATGGCGTGGGCTCTGTCTTGGGAGGGGCTGGGGGATTTGTGATAAAACCTTGTTGGAGACGGGCAGGTGCAGAAATCATCCTGCTGTGCTGATACCTGTCTGTCCTCTGCCTGTGTGTCTGCCTGCACCACTCCCTTGGCCTGTCTGTCACCAAAGCTCCTGCTGTAACCAGGATGCCGTCTTCCAACCTCCACCTGCAGGCTCAGCACAGAGCGGTCTCCCTTGATTCCACTTTTGGGCAGAAATCTCCACATCTGGTGAACAGCATCACCATAGCACCCAGGGAGTGACTGTCAGGGAAGGACAGAGTCCTGCCCACTGCAGTAGCCCTGCCCTGGACATTGTGATCCAGCACTGGGCCTTCGGAGACTCAGAGCCTCCACGTGGACCCTAAAAATCATCATCTGGGATTTTCCTCAGCATCCCCAGAAAGAATTACCTTGGGTACTTGTTAAATAATACCCCAGGCCCCACCACAGACCTCGTGTATTGGAATGTGTGGCACAGGAGCTTGGGAAGCCATGTGCTGAATGTGCACTGGAGTCTTCTGAGCAGCTTGGGGAAACGCAGACCCAGCTCTGCATTTATAGATGGTGAACCAAGGCCCGGGATGGGGGCTTGTCCAGGGTCGTACAGGAACCCCCTTCATGACCTTCCCTCAGCCAGGTCTCTGAGTCATAGACAAAAGGTTGACATAGTCCAATCCACTGTCTTAAAGTGCAGGGTGTGCGCTGTCTTAAAAAGACTTCCAGCAAGTAAAGTAAGAGTCCATTCCTCCTTTGGGCCTGTGTTGGCTTCAAAGCGCCTAACTTGGGTTCCCAGGAGACGTGCTTTTGCAGAGGCCCCACCGGCCCAGCCTGCCCAAGATGGAGGCACCGCTGTAGCTATACTGGCCTCGACACAGTTGGCTCGTGTGCCCGGCATGGGCTGCTTCTTTCCCACCGGGAGTGAGGGCACAGAGTTACCAAGAGCCAGTTCTCAGCCCTGGGGAGGCTCGCAGGCTGCCAGGGAGGCACTGGCAGCCCATAAAGCACTCCAATCAGGCCATTCCCCCAGGGCCCCAATCAACCCGCTGGGCAACCAGACCCGGCCAGCAGTGGGTCCAGCCCACAGGGTGACAGGAGGCTGGGCTGCCAGCTCCAGCCACGGACCCCCAACCCCTAACCACGTCTGAAAGGTAAATTTCGGCAAATGACTCCACACGGTTTCCTTTTCACAACACGTCTCTCTGAAACACAGAACCTGGTTTCAGAAGAAAACAGCTTTTCTTTGGCAAGAGGGAACCCCTTTTCAGTCCCAACAGGTAAATTGTGGCTGGATAACTTTCTTCCATCTGGTTGGGTTAGAGAAGGAAATTTCCACCAACCGGCAGCCTATCTGTTGAAAGTTTCTCTACGTCGCAGGGAAGCCGGCCCTGAGGTCCCAGAGGGGCCCAGGTGCAGGGCACAGCTTCCGTCACTCCTGGGTCTCAGCCCACCCATCCTCCTAGCATTCCCAAGTTTCCGGTTCTCCGAGAGGGAGCAGAGGAGAGCTCTCTGGAGGGAGATCTGGGGCCCATTTGTAGCCCTTCTGACAATATTGTTTTCCTTGGAGCTTTAATTCCGTTCAGAGTTTTCTCATTTGCTTCCCCCTAAATCCCACCGGATCCATCCCCTGCTCTCCATCCCCTCTCCCAGCTCATCTTCCACCTGTGATCTTACGGCAGGGCCCTAATGGGTCTCTGGCTCCTAGCCGTGTCCCCAGCACATTACCCTCCTCAGCCTGAGATTCCCAGTGCTTTCTCTCGCCCCGCCCCACCAAGTAAACTTCCTGCTGCTCAGCCTGGATGCAGAGCCTTTGCCTCCTTCCCGCCTCACCTGCTGGTCCTCCTCCTGCGGGATGCCTGGGCCCTGTCCTGGCCAAGCTGTGTGCTGCCCTGCAGTGGACCATGCACGGCCCACCCCCACCCTTGTCCTTGCTTCTCTCTCTGCGGGGGGGTGGATGTGAGTGGACACTTGCTGAGCTCCTGCTGTGCCAGCCACTGACATCCCTCACATCCCCCAGCCCTGTCAAGAGTCCAGGAAGTAGGCTTCGCTTGACCAAGGAGGAAACTGAGGCTCAGCGAGGTCAGGTAACTTGCCCAAGACCTTGCAGCAAGTCAGGTATGGAGCCAGAACCTACAGAATCAGGGCTGTCTGGTGCTGAGGGTCACATTCGTCCAGCACCACGCAGACGCCCCTGCTGCCCTCGCCTGGCAAGCGTCTCCTCCCTTCTCCCCATCCTCCCCACAGCGTGTTCCCTGTGCCCCTCTCCCTTGCATCCCATAGCCTCCCCCTGCCGACCGTGGGTCTCCCGTGGGTGCCCCTGTCCTGGCACAGTTCCACAGATGGCAGTCGTTCGCTTGCGTTTCTAGGCTGGGAGGCCCTGGGGACCAGAGCTTGGGTGGACTTCTCTGGGTCACCGGAGGCCTCACTGAGGGTTTGTTGACTGCATGCATGAGTGAGAGAAGAGGGGGAGAGAGGGGGGAGAGGGCCGAAGTGCCACCTGGAGCAGGCTGGCCTTGCCTCGCCCCTCATTACTCCAGATGTAAACACATCGAAGGAAGTTTAGAGAAGCAGCAGCCCGTGGCAGGATGATTTATGGGGACCTGTGAAAGGGGCCCGGCATGTGTCCGCAGATGGCTGTGCAGCAGCAGCAGAATGGTCTCAGGGAACCCCCGCATCTGAGAGCCAGGAGCAGGCAGCAGGGCTGTGGCCAGGGGGCACGCCAGGGAGGAGGCCATTGCCGCGCTGCGTGCAGGGCGCTGCCCCAGTCGGTCGGATCTGTGACAATCCTTGGTTTCTCCTTTTGCACGGTCAGGGCCTTGACTGGCCTCTGGGGGTCATGCCAGTTCTGTTGTTCCCCCAGTCCCCCAGTGGGTTGGATAAACAAGGGAGCAGAGCACTGGGCCATCGGGAAGGACAGTCATGAGGGGGCAGGTGCAGGGAAGAGAGCGTTTCCCGGGCTCCGGGTATGGCCGGAAGCCAGGTGCAGAGGTGGGCCTCTGTATGTGGTGGCTGCAGAGCCCTGTAGGTGCCACCATGCAGGGACGGGGGTGCAGGACACACGTGCACAGGGGGTCATTGGCCTCCTGGGCCTCGGTTTCTCCAGAGGTTTGAGCAGATGGCCCGAGCCCCCGCAGAGGGGAAGAGAACCGTTTCACCTCCCCCTGGGCCCCTGGGAGGGCTCTGCCCGCCTCCTGCTGACCTACCATCGTGCCCTGAGGTTCTCCAGCTCACCTTTCCCCCAGCACAGCCAGGCTTTCTCCTGGTACCATACAGGGTGCTCAGCATCTCTGCATGAGGCCAGGACCTCGTCTGATTAGAGGACGATGCCCCCAGGAGAAATGGGGAGCAGTGTCACTTAGTGGATAAAAGCACAGAGGAATTCAGGCAGAATCCCCAGCCCCTCCTCGTACTCGCTCAGAGGCTTAGAATAAAAAGATGGTGCTTGTAAAGCGGTGAGCTGGCCTCAGACCACTGGTGACACTCAGTAACAGCTGTCCCCAGTGTTGGTGGCTGACTCTCAGAGTCTGGTCTAGGATGCCACACGCCCCATCTCCCAGCAGGAGGCGGCTCCTGGGCCTTCAGTGCGTATTAGGCTTAAATGAGCCCCTGGGTGAGCACATCGTTAAACAGAAGCGAGTTGGCTACATGCCGGGTGCGCAGCCCATGTCCAGTGCTGGTGGGGATAGAGAAGGAAGAATCGTGGGTCATGGCCGGACAGGGACGGCTCCCTGCTATGGTGCAGCCGAAAGAGCCCTGGAGTCACGGCCACCTTGCCTCTGCCTGGCAAGAAATCCAGCCAGCGGGGGCTGGAGGGCTGGGGACCCTGAGGGTCCAAGTGACCCAGTGAGGGGAGAGTGAAGGCATTCCCAGCAGAGAAGACCATGTGGCCAAAGGCCTGGAGGCTGCCATGGGCCTTAGGTACCAGGACAGGGAGCTGTGGGCAAGCCGGTCACTTTAGATCTCTGCCTCCGTCTGACCAGTCTGCCCAGACAGTTCCAGCCGGGTCATATCGCGAGCTCCACCCCGGCCAGCAGGGCCACCAGTCAGCCAGGCCCTCGTGCCCCCAGCTCCATCTGCACTTTGTCTCCTCGGAATCCGCTGAGGAGCCCACCACCTTTGTATCACAAGAAAGCCACAGCTCCAAGACCCCCCAGACCCAGCCCTGATGGCTCTTAGAGACCCCCTAGTCTCTAAGAGGAGCCTTGGGGCAGCCAGCTGACACATCTCAGGCACCAGCCCTGCTTTCCTGTGCTTTACACCTGGGCTTCTGACTATGATCTCACTTCTGGCTTCTGCTGCTAGAAAACATTTTAAAGTCCGAGCGTCCGATGCTGCTCCTTCGTTGTACACATGGGGAAACTGAGGCCTAGAGGATAGGACCTGCCCAAAGTCACACAACAAACGGGGACATCGGGCTTCTGCCTTCCACCCAGGCAGAGGGCCCCTTCCCACACAAGGGGCCCTGTCGGCTCCGAGCGCACTCGGCCCTTGGTGCCAGCCGTCTGCGGAGCCTGGGAACACTCAGAGTGTTTGGTTTGGCTTCGAGGCCACTTTGCCATGAGACGCTATTCCCCAACAAGGGCCTGAAGGGAAGGGGGCTGGGATCTGGACTGGGCTTTGTGAGCAGAGTGGGCCCAAGAGGTGGGGGTATTTGGAGGGGCTTTCTGTCCACACCCCACTAACCTCACCCCGTTTTCCTGGGACTCCTTCCAAGCAATAATTCCCCCATTCAGGCTCCAAGCGGGAGTTTGCATCTTTGGTTTTCAAAGTGTGAAAGCAAATGCCTTTGGGCGCCTTGTGAGACATAGTTTTCATGATTCCTGCTTGGTCCTTCTCCTGACGGCAGGGGCTGCTGGGCCCCTCTGGGCACCCCAAGTGGCAGCTCAGCCTCCTCTCCTGAGGCCAGCCTTCCTGGCCTCGCAGCTGCTCGGGCTGGAAAGTTGGGGGCAGCAGCTGGGAGGAACCCTTCATTAGAAAAGAAGGGGAGGGAAGGGACTGCGGTAGTGATCCTGCTGGGCGTGGGCACAATACCCTCCAGGGACTGAGGCCACAGGGGCCCTCCTCTCTGACCCTGGCAAGCCTCCACCCACGGGTGTGCGAGGCCTCGGCAGGAAGAACCATGCTTCACTCCCGTGCTCTCCGTCTGCGCAGTTAGGGATGGCACCACAGCCCAGCTGGGGCCGGGGAGGCAGACAGCCTGGTGCACGTCTTCAGGCTCAGTTTCCCCATCTTGAAAATGGGAATAATGATAAGATGACACGTGTATAGCATCAAGCACAGTGTCTGCCGGCACACAGGAAGTGCTCCATAAATGGAGGATGCTTTTAGTGAGAGAGACAAGGACACACACATAATAATAGTGCTAAAAATAGCCAACACCATACAGCACTTCCGGTTGGCCTGGCAATGTTCTGAACCTTACATATGAAACCCATTCAAACCTCGTGCGCATAAATAGGTGTCAATGACACAGTGTGATCAGTGAGAAATGCGCAAGGCTTCGTGGGAGCCTTAACTCTCCCAGGTGGCCTTAGGGGCAGGAGGACAAATCAAAGAGGCCTCCAGGTGAGGAGACTGTTGAATCAGGCCTTCAAAGGTGAGTCAGAAAATGGCAGCAGGACATTAGGTGTGACTGGGGATGGCGGTGTGTGCTGGGAGAGCCCAGAAAGGTGAGGTCAGCCCGCAGCAGGCCATGTGAGAGGTCTCGGGTGCTCTGAAGGCCGGCGTGGGGTGGGAGGTACAACGTGCCGGATTTGGGGGAGTCATAAGGGGCATTCGAAGCTGCCTGGTCTGCCCCCTCCCTTCCGGTGCTTCCCACACAATCTCTGTTCAGGACACCTTCCTGCCACCCATGGTGCGTGACAAGCATTTGCTCCCTCCTCTCCTGATTACTTCTCTGGGAATTTCTATAGACAGAGGAACACACACATCACAACTGTAGAGTCCAGGGTGAGAAGGACCTCACACAAGGATGTGGTAGGTTCCTGCGGCCACAGCATGACCAGGACTAGAGCAGAGGGCGAGGGACAGGGCAGGGAGTGACAATCCCCTCCTTTTCTGAGGGCACACGGACACGGATGCCAGAGCAGATGTCCCAGACCCCGTGCAGGCAGGGATGTGCTTGTGACCCCCGGGCTGCCCTGCCCACCACCCCCTGAGGCTGAACCAGGCTGTGTGAGAGGGTCCGGCCGGGACAGAGATGGGGCTGGGCTGCAGTGGTGATGATTACAGAGCTCACCGTGGTGATGTGGCCAGTTGTCGGGGCCTCATGCCCAGCATGTGGAAACGTGGCCAGTGTGGGACCGGGGAGTGGGGGGAGCCCAGCTGACCTGGGGAGTGAACGGCCCATCAGGGAGGGAGGGTAAGCACTGCAGAGCAGGCAGTGTCCCACGTGGAGGAGGCTGCCCACTCTGCAGATGGCCAGGGAGGGGCAAGCTTCCTGCCCCGCCATCAACTGCTGGTGAGCACCCACTGGGTGCCCGGTTCAGATCCTGTCCCTGCCGTGTGTCCCAGAGCAAGTTACTTACCCTCTCTGTGCCTTGATTTCTTCACAAGTAAAATGGGATAATAGTCTTACCTGCCTCGTAGTGTTGTCATGAGGATTGGATGTTAACGGGTCCTATGTGCTGGGCACAGACGCCGCCGGGAGCGCCCTCAGCCATGTGCAAGCTGGACTCGCGGCCTTCACGGCTGACTGCAGTGTCACCTCTTCCTGGAGGCCATCCGGGCTCCACACTGGGTTGGGGCCCCTCTGTGCGCCCCTTGCCCCTGGCCTTCCCCTCCTATCTTTGACCCTCTGGGGTGATGGGGTTTGTCGGATCCTGCCCCTGCATCTCCCTCTGCCTCCTGCCCCCCAGGGCTGCACAGGGCAGGCGTGAGCCCATCGTCTCTGGGGCCCAGGCCTTTCCTTCATCCCAGAGCCTTCTCCCCCTTGGTCTCTCTTTGTTATGCCTCCGTCATTGTCAACTCTCTTCCCCAGTCCCTGTCCTGCCCTCTGCCCCTCTCTTTGTTCATCATTTCCTATCTCTCTCTCCAGGACCTGAGCCAGTAACCTGGTCCTGGCCCCTGCCCTCCCCTCGACTTCCCGATGCCACCAAGTGCTGGCCTCGGCCCGCCAGTTCCTTCTGCACTCTTCATCTCTTTTTATTTCTCTGTCTCGGCACTTCTCTCTCTTTCACGTAGGCTTCCTTGAGCCAAGAGCCTCACCCATGACGTCCAAACTGGCTTCTATTTCTATAAGTTCATGAGGGACCACCTTCACTGACACTCCCTGTGATTAGGCAGAGTGAGGCCACCAGGGCGCCTGCCCCCAGAGGCGCCTGCCCCCCGAGGCGCCACCCCACTCCCTCTGTGACCTGTCCCAGGGAGCCTCGCTGAGCCTCCGTTTTCTCATCTGGTGAAAGGGGGTGGTGCGGCACGTTGAACGTTTGTTTTGAGGACCAGAGATGCTACTTATAAAGTGCGGATTCCCAGTGGGCGCTCAGTAAACGATAGCCGTGATAATGAGGGTGACATGGGGCGGTTGTTTGTGTGTTTTGTTTTGTTTTCTGTTTATTTCAGACTGGGGAGGGGAGGGCAGCAGGAGGCCAGGGGCACCTGCATACAGAAGTGAGAGGGCTGCCTGCTGCAGTGTGACCCTAGATGGATCCCCTCTGAAACACTTCACTTCTCTCTGCCTGGCACCCAGTACTCTTGAGTGGTCACCCTTGAGGCCGGCTGTGTGGCTCTGGGCTGCTCACTTTCCCTGTCTGAGCCCTTTGTTCCCTTCTCCATTTTATGCGGAAAAAAACAGATTCAATAAAATGTTGGATCTGAACCCTAAGACCACAGCCCAGGACAAGGCTGCTGAGAGGCTGTTCCACGTTCCACGTATTTTTCTCCCTCCAGCACCACCGCCTCGCCACCACCACTGCCCTTCCAGACCACGCACAGCTCCGAAACAGCCAAGCCCCCCTTCCAGCTCTCCGACCCGCGCCAGCAGCAGGAAGAGCCGGGGCTGGCCAGCAGCTCAGCGCCCAGCCGCTCACAGCCTGCCCTGGGCCTCCTCCCGGCCATCGCTGCCAGCATCACAGCCCCCTTCCTGCTGCACACCCTCGGGCTCTCCTGACCTCGGCTGCCCACCTCCCTGCCGGGTGCAGAGAAAGAAGCCAGAGAAACCGATGGGAGGGTCTGCGGCCACACCCACGGCCCCTGCCACCACCTCCAGGGGTGCCGGACACCTCATGGGTAGTCCAGACGGGATCCGTTAGAACACTAGAGCTTTATTGTACCCGAGTTACATCTTCTTTTTTGTAGAAGGATCTTAATTTCCCATAGTGCTATGGGGCTGTTTTGTAAAATATGTGTCCATATTAAAAAAGGAAAATGTATTTATTCTACTGATAAAACTATTTTTATGTGGCCAATGTTAATAACACTTTAACTAGCCCCATCGCCAACCCAGGAGGTGAACCCACGTTGCCAGGACGTCTGCGACCTCATGGGGACCGTGGCTTTGAACTGGCTTGCTCCTGGATCAGTGGAAGCCTCCAGCGTCCGGGTTTGGCTTCTCCCACTGTAGGGACTTCAGAGGGAGGGGCAGGCAGACAGGCTTAGCTTTTGTGAAGCTGGATTTGGGAGCCAGAGATGTGAACGCTAACGGTCCTTCCTTCCCCTGGATGCATCCTAGGGCTGGGAAGATACTTTATGAAAGAGAATGCTGCTATTTTGAAAACCCTGAGTGTCTGTGAACTGGCCCTCCAGACCTCTTGGTATGTGTTCCAGCCAAAGCTCTTGGGTGGGGGAAGGGATGTTGGTACTGAAGAAAGTGGTCCCACAGCCCCATGTGACAGATGGTTAAACTCGCCAAAGAGAGTAAGGTTGTTGCCCCAGGTCACAAAGCAAGTGGGAGATCTTGTAATGAGAGCTGCCATTTGTCCGGAGCCTGCAGTGTGGCAGGCATTTTGCACATTCACTTTATCACAGATCCTCACGCCAGTTCTGTGAGATACAATTGGCCCTGTTTCACAGGTGAGGAAATTGAACCCCCATAAGAGATAAAGGGACTTGTTCAATGTCACCCAGCCCGGACGTGGCCCTAGATCAGTGTGATTCAAAAGCAATGCTTGTCTCCTAGACCATAGTCTGTTGTGGTCTCTTTGCACAGGGAATCTCCACGGGAGGCAGGTCTCACCCAAATGGGCCAGCTCACGCTTCTTACTCCAGCCAAAGAGACCACTTGGCTACAGTTGGTCCCTCTAGCCAAAGGGCTCTGGCAACAGGCTCTCCCACGTGTCCCATGTCCCAACTTGTCTTATCTTGAAGCCGATGAGAGGCTTTCTTGCCAAATCAGAGAGGCTGGAGGATAGCTGTGATGGGCCTGGTAAGGCAGAGCAGCCAAAGGGGGGCAAGCAGGCCAGGGAGACTCAGAGAAACTGACCAGCTCCTCTGTCCTCAAGGTGGTGGCTGAGAAGACAGAGGACCCAGGTTGGTTGCCTCCCAGTCCTGAACCCTCACTGGGCTGGCAGCCCATCAGTTACAGAGTCCTGGAACCCAAGAGCAGAAAGGGCCCCTCGTTTGACAGATAATAACAGTGAGAGTAAAAAATAAGGCCCAGAGAGGTGAGGCATTTCCCCAAGGCTGCACAGCTGAGCAGGTCTGCTGACTCCCAGCTCAGTGCTCCCCAGCATGACTGCGCCATGGGCATCCCTGGCAGGCCTGGTAGTGTCTGATTAGAATCAGGGCCATTGTGCCCAGCTTGGCAGCTGTCTCCCTTCTGAGACAGTAGAATTCTGGGCAACTCTTTGGATGGTCAGAAGTCCCACAGGCATCTTGGCAGGCAGCTGAATTCTTTTTAGCTCTGACCCAGATGGATGTGTTTGAACTTGAGATCTGGCAGGAGCCCTGAGCTCTGCTGCAGAGGGTCCAGCCAGCCCCATGGGTACCACACTGTAAACTGAACTTGACCCCAGCCAAGGCTGGAGTCCGTTTATCCTTGGCAGAAATGTGACTTCCTATTTCTGAGCAGGAAGGGGCTTAGCTGACTTATAAAGCAGACGCAGAAAGCCTGCTGGACATCAAATACGTCGTGCCGAGTGCTATTTGGATGAGATAAGTGTAAAGGAATTAGAAACACACAGGCCAGATTTCCCGCTGTTCAGGGCAGAGTATGGCATGAGATGTATTGAGATGGAGCTTGAGGTTAATTAAAGATGAAGCATTTGGTAAACAGTCCACGCATCTGACCGCATGCCCAGATCTGTACTGGGCACGGGGCCAAAGAGGTAAATTAATGTAGTGTGTGATTATCAAACACACACAGTGCCAGGCTCTGTGTTGGGGCCAAATATAGCCACCTTCCTTGGCCTAGAGGAACTCATCATCAAGATGCAAGCAAGCAGCCCAATCCTAGGTTCTTAGAAGGAACTTTAAAGGTCATTCTGTCCAGGTCCATGATCACAGGCAGATGCCCCCAGATCCCTCCTCTGGGCAGGTTGGGAGATCCCAAACTCTCCCTCCACCAAGCACTCGAGTGTTTAAAGAAAGCCACGTGGGCAGCTGATGGATGGGCCAATTGATCAGGTAGACATGTGCTGATGGGACAGCCAGAGCCAGTGTGAGTTAGACAGACGTCTGCAGCCTAAGTTCACTGGTCCCTGAGGACCACCCGCTGGCCAGGGTTTGAAATGAACTGAACTTGCTGACGTATGTTGCAGAAGACCCGAGGCACATGTACAAAAATCTGCATGGCTGGGGCCCTTGAATTCTCTCTTTCTGGGCCCGGGAACCATCATCCCATCCACAGCCACTCACGTGCTTTGGATGATCTATCCACCACTGCTGACATTTTTTCCAGCACATTCTGTGAGCCTCGCCTCATAAAATGCCTCTGCTGCTCTGAGAGCATCGTGTCCATGTCTTAAGACTTTTACATTTGACCTTGAGGCAGGCAGAGAAGATCAGGGACTGAGAGCCAGCATGTTAGTGGTGGCCCTGGGTCCCGTCTCTCAGGACGACTGACTAAATGACCAAGGGGTTTTCTGGGTCAGCTCAGAATGGCCCTGTCTCCTAATCTCCCCCTGGGCTGTTCTGAGCACCAGCAGCCAGGTGAAGGCAGGGATGGTAAAGGTGTATGAGTCAAGCTGCAGGGAGCTGCAGAGGGCCACTGAGGGCCCCTCCAGCTCTGACAGTCAAAGATCTAGAGTCTGTGAAGCATAGAAGCTTGTGCCGACTAGCAAGTTGGCCTTTGCACAGAAAAACCATGACCGGATTTTCCTCACACTAAATGCTCTGTCACCCAATTCCTGGCCTCAGGTGGATTTGGGCTAGCCTAGGGACTCAGGATCCTTGTCCCACCTGCCCAGTCTCCATCCTGGGGCCATGATCACAAGGGATCCCAAAAAAAGGTTCTCCACCAAAGGGCAAGTATAGGAAAATGCCACGAAGGACAAGAGAGGTTCTACCTGGGAATTGCAGTTTTGCTGGTACCCTGTGTGGCAGAGAACAGAACTGGGGCTGGTGACGTGTTCCTCAGCCTGGCTTTCTATACCCTCCACAATCAGACCCTGCTGACCATGCCAGCCTCGCTTCTCATCTCTCCCACTCCATGCCTAGTCAGACTGAAGCATATTTGTCATTTCCAGAATAGACAGGATGTTTCACACATGCTGCTTCCTAGGCCTGGAAACGCCGTTCTATTACCCTTAACTGCTCATACTTTGAGGATCAACTCAGATAGCACCTCCTACAGGAAGCCTTCTGCGTTGAGACCGTCTGTGCCTCTGTTCTCCTATCATACTGTGAGCTTCTCGATGGCAAGGATCATGTGAATTCATCTTTGTATCCTCATCAGACATAAAGAGGGCACTCAAGAGATGTGTAGAGAGGGACGGAGGAAGAAAGGAATGAAGGAAAGAAAGAAGAGAGGCAGACCTTAACTCTGCTAGTGGAATAGTGTTTGCAAAGCCAAAGCTGTCGGAAGATGGCAGGTGCCCCTCGAAGTGTTGAGTTTCCCGTCAGGAGCAGTGTGTGAACAGGGGCAGTAGGCACACTGGCTGGAGATGTGGTAGGAGAATTGAAGTCTTGGCAAGGGAGTGGGGTAGGGTCCCTCCTGGCTCTTGAATGCTCAGGTTCTTTGAACATTGTTATTTTTCCAAAAATTCATCTAAGCAGCCAAAAAAATCACCCGGCCTGGCTGTCTAAACCAGTATGTTTCAGAAATCAGTCCAGCCTCACATCCCCGCCCCCCCCCC